ATGTGGCAATACAAGGCTTCTTATCAAAAAGCAACTAGCGGACCTAAGCATTGTTCATCCGGTGTTCCTACCAGACGTGAACAATACTCCGCAGGCATCCGTGGTCAAACACGACCAAGCGTCTAAACCTTCCGCGCATAGAAGTCACTGTAGTGGACGGCTACTATTGGCTCGTTCTACAACTATGCATGCGTGTTTCCTGACCTCTGATGCATGCAGTCCACTGGAGAGACATTGCCCTGTATGTTGTAAACACTGAGGGCGCGATAAATATTTTTTCTACTGCATAAGATAAAACAATTTCTGTGCGCTCCAGAAGTTCATGCGCCAAAAGGTTAATGTCTTCGCCGCGAACTGGTCATGTGCGGCGTTTGCCAATTGAATTTTCACACTTCGTGTATTGGTCTTTCTGGGAGTGGCTAATTTTTGTACTGAAAAATTGACCTGGAGGGGCTTTATGTTCCGGTACGGCAGGCCAAATGGTGTTCAAGTTCAAGTGAGACTGGAACGATAGGATTATCCCGTGAGTGTTCCTTCTTCGACGGGTCGTTGAACCAGGAGTTAGTGGACTTTGAAATACTGACGGACCTAAAACAAAGACCGCATCACACCCTGTCCAACCAATTAATGCCCACGCATCCTGCACCTAGCAGTCTCTGCTGGGCCGGTTACGTGAAGTAAAAAAGAGAAAAAAGTAAACTCAGAAGGCAAAAGAGAAAGTGGAAAGAGCTAAGCAAGTGGAATACCAAGATATTTGAGTCATTAAAAAAGAACTAAAAAGTGAAAGTATCAGGTAGAAAAAAGGAAAAGTTTGCTGTTGTCACCCAAGAGCATCGAGCTGGCACGCAAAACCCTTAACCGTAGGTTCCCTAACTATGTGATCTGGAAGCGAATTCCAGCGATCTATAACTCGGCGCGACAGACGAGTTTCCGTCCTAATCCTATCAGACCGTGGTTTAAGCAGTTTCAGTGGGTGACCACGGAGATTAGGTAAGGTAGTGGGACTAAATAGCTCTGATAAGTCCGGGCCAATCCTACCTGTCAAAATACGATAAGTGAGAATCAGGTCCCCTCTTATCCTTCGGTAGTGCATTGAGTACATCCCCAAACTGATCAAGCGTTCAGGATACGTCTGTCCCCGTTGACCCTGCACTAACCGAGTGCCCACTCGTAACACCCTCTCCAAGGCCATTGTGTCTCGGTTAAGACATGGACAAGCCTGAATACAATATTCCGGGTGGGGTCGGACGAATGCCGAGAATACTGTATTTGGAGCAAGTAGAAAATAATTCTGTACAACTCCGTCGGGTGATAATCAAAAACATTTAAAAAAATAAATAAACACGTCCGGTGGTTATCCTGAGATGGTTCAGCAACTCCTTCTGTAGCACACAAAATGCTTCTTCACACAGTGAGTCACAAGTGGGTGATATCGTTGTCAAGTGGCAACCGTTCTCTGAAACGTATGTTAGAGAAATCCAACAAAGATTTGAATTTCTGCACAGATTCGGCCTCGACGACGTGTTCTGGCAGACTGTTCCAGGTGTGCACAACCCTAAGCTCGAAACACAGGGGGTGTGGGATTTCCTTCAGACCAGGTACCACGAGTTTGTACCTGTGCCCACGTGTGGTGCATGGTACTCGCAAGTGGAGTAACGACCTCAGCATGGGGAAATGACCGAGATGTAAAATACGGTAGGTCATGATAAGATCCACTCGAACACGGCGATACGACAAGGTGTAGAGCCCAAGTTTCATGCACGAATTTTCATACGATAAGTCTCTCAAGCTGGGGATCAAATTGGTGGCGACGTGTTGTACTCGTTCGACCTTTTGCGCTTCGCCGCGAGTGATCGGACAGTATGCAGGCGGGCCGTACTCTAGCATTGATCTGACGATGGAGGAGATGAGGCGAGTGGCGACGTCCTCAGACCAAGTGCAGAAAGCTGCGCTTCAGCGCCCAAAGCATGCGCAGTCCGTTTCGATACAGTTTGTTGGTGTTGTCGACGGACTTCAAGTCGCAGCGTGAGAGTACACCTAGGTCTTTCACGGAAGGTGTGGGATGCAGTGGTTGGCCCGTCTAGGGTGTACGTTCGGCCGTGAACAGCCTTCCCGAGATTCATGAATAGGGACTTTGCCGGGTTGACCAGTAGGTGGACTTCAGCAGACCATACTGCGAGGCGGTCGAGTTCCTGTTGGAGAATGTCACAGTCATCGAGAGTATTAATTCTCGCCAAATTTTGAGGTCATCCGCAAACAGTGCACACGGCGACCGTAGAAGTTGGGACAGCTCGTTGATATGGATGAGAAACAGAGTGGGCCCCAGTATCGTACCTTGAGATACACCACTGGTCGGGGGATACTAATCGATTAGATGACCGTCCACCTGTACCCTCCACTTTCT